TTTCTCTGCTTACTGTGGCGAGTGCTGCCGCCCTCTCTGCTGCCTCCGCTGCTTCCGCCACGAGCCTGCACCCGTGACCTCTTCTTTCTTCTCCTGGTCTTGTGCGCCTGCATTCGCTCTCCTCCTCCTCCTCCTCCTCCTCCTCCTCCTTGGAATTCCCTCCTCCTCCTCTCCTCCTCCTCCCTTCCTCCTCCTCCTCCTCCCTCTCCCTCCTCATCCTCCTCCTCCTCCTCCCCCCCCTCTCCTCGCTGCTGCTGCTGCTGCCGCTGCTGCTGCTCCTCCTCCTCCTCCTCCTTTCCTCGCTGCTCCTCCTTCCCCCTCCCCTCGCATGCTGCTTCTGCGAGACTAGGCGTAGTGTTTTGAAGCAGGGCTGGAGGCACACGTTTTCCTCGGAGTGGGCGCTGCACGGCGCTCACCGTCCGAAGCTTCTACGGCTGGGACGCGCGCTTTTTCGGCAGCAAATCATGGGAGCCTTGTGTCCGAGTCGGGAATCTACATATGACAACCGTCTGGAGGGTCAGTTTTCGGAGCCTCTGCAGGCGGTGGATATGGGCATATTCGGGCCCCCCGGGGGCCGAAATATATCCATATCCACCGCCCGCTGGGGCACCAGGGCGTCGGTTCCCAGGCGGTGGGTATGGATAAATCAGCGCCTCGCATTGTGTACCCTCGTAATTCTGCTTTAGCGTCGACTGGCGTCGATAAGAGTCTGGGAGTCGATGAGATAGCGCCGATGTAGCGCCCTTTAGCGCCAACTAGAGTCGATTTAGCGTCGATTAGCATCGATTTGGCGTCGATTGGCGTCGATTCGCAAGAGCCGACGAGATAGCATGGGAGGGTCCCATGAGTTGCCATCGAACGCTCTTTCGTCCCTGTTCTTCCACCCCGGGAGAGGTAAGGCGCACACCCCCACGAGGACTCCACAGACCTCCTCTTGGCCCAGCAGGTTATTCAGGATAAAAAAAACATAGCCATGGAAACTTCCGCTCGATTTGGACTCAATGCATTTCGGCGAATGATGCCCAATGCCGCTCAATATCGCCAAGTAACGCCCAGTAGCGCCCAGCAGAGCCGAACGGCGCTCGCATAGCGCCCAACAGCGACCAAGAGCGCCCCGCAGCGCCACGTGATGGATATGCGCACTGTGCCCGCTCTGCGCGCGATTGGGTGCGCCGTTGGGCGCCATGGGACAGCCACAAGCTTCGCGAGTTGCTTCCTAAGCGTCGCTCCGCACGGATCTGCCGGATCGGCGCCAGGCCCCCCCCGCGGCGTCTCTGGGCGCGGGCCCAGCGGAAGTGGCGCTGCCATTCCCTTTTCGGCCCGGCCTCGTCCGCCGTCTCCCATCTCCTCGCCTCCCCGTGCCGCTGCCACGTTTAGTCCGAGCGTGGCCCGGGCGTGTGCGCCGGGCCGCCCTCGCTGCCACACCGACCGCGCAGCCGACCTGCACCGCCGCCAGCGCAGCCTCTGCGCCTACCACAGGCTCCGCTCCTCGGCCCCAGCACCAGCAGTGACCTCGGGGGCAGGCTCCGTGGGCTGTGCCTCCCGCCGGGGCGGCACGTCGGGGACCGCCTCCACTGGCGGTGCCCGGCTCAGCCCTGGGTCGCGCTCAGGGCCCCCCCCGCTGAACGCCGCTGTCCTGCTGGGCGCAAAGAAGGCCAACCCCGCTGCCACCGGCGCCCCCGCCTCCGCCGGAGGGCTTGGGGCAGGTCCCCGGCCGCCGCCGCCACGGGATCGCGCGGGCCAGGCGAGGCGGCCCCCGCGCCCGGTGCCTGTCGTCGCGGTGTCTCCACCATGCCCGACGGCGACCTCGGGCCATTCGTGCACGCCCAGCTCCGGCACTGGGGGCTCTGCACGTTCTCTGTCGCGGCCTCGACTACGAGCGAGGGAGGCGGCCGTGCCCGGCGGCCCTCCTCGCGCGGCGCTGCTTCGTTCACGGCCTCAGGCTCGTTTTTTGCCGAGGTCCCACGCCGTTGGAGAGGCCCTCCCGCGTCTTCTGCAGCGCCTCCAGGACTTCGGCGGGTCCTTCCAGGAACCCGCGCCGCAGCCTGGCGCCTGCTGTCGCAGCTCGCGCGGCCGCGCGCGGGCGGCCTGGGCGGACGTGTCCGAGGAGCCGGCAGAGAGCGCCGTCGGCAGGGGCGGCCAGTCCCCCGCGGGCAGCCCCGCGAGCTGTCGAGACCAGCCAGGGGGCGGCTCCGCAGCGGGCGGCCCTGCGGCGCCCGCCCCCGACGCCGCCAGCAGGTCCAGGTCCATCCCACGCGCGGGGGGGGCGCGCCAGACGCTGGCAGGCCTCGCGGAGGCCCAGCTCGCCAGCCGCGGCCAGCGGCCGCGGCCCTCCGCGGCGCCCCCGCCCCCGTTCCCCGAGCGGCCGAGTGCTCGTCTCCCAGGTCTCCGCACCGTTGGACGGGCACCGGGCCGCCAAGCGCTCCTCGCACGTGGCCCCTCGCCCCGCCGATGGGCCTCTCGAGCCTGCGGACTTCCCGTCCAACCAGCTTGGCCTGCGGCAGACACCAGGGCAAGCTGGTGGAGCTCACGGGAACGCACCAGCCCCGAGCTGCGCCCACCTGTTCATTGGTTCCCTCCCTTCAGCTGCTGCCCAAGCTGGCGCCGCCCACCCCGTCGAGGGCGGGCCGGCCCTGGCCCTAGGTCGGCGGCTCGGGGGCCGCGGCGCCGCGGAGTGCGGCCCCGCTGGCGCCCGCGCCCTCGCCCGCCGCGCGCGGGGCGGACGGGCCCACGAAGGCCGGGGCGGCGAGCGCGAGGACCGCGGCGGCGGCCAGAGCGGCCGCAAGGGCGGCGGAGCGCTGGGCTGTTCATTGGTTCTTTCCCTTAAGTCGGGCTTGTCCTTCTACAGGAGGAGTATCCAAAAATTGTCCAAGAATAGTCTGGGGACGATGTTTTGAGCATTTACTGTATATACGTATATATATATATATATAATCATACGCACCTCTCCGAGGGAGTAGAGCTCAGGGCCGATTAATTGAAGGCGGCGTCCGCGATTTTTCTGGCCGTTTCGCTAGGGACATCCTCGAAATTCTGAAAATCGGTGGCACCCCTCACGCAGATCGTGACGTCAGGGTCCAAAACCACATGGGAATTTCAACATTCTAACATAAAACCTTCCATTATCCTGGCGAAGGACCCAATCATAAGCAATTGTTCGTAACGCGTTGTGGGTGCCGCTTTCGGTGGGGCTCCCTATGGGGCCACGAAGCGCTGCCCTGGGTGGGGGAACCGCATGCGAGGGCAGCCACTGGGGCCTTCGGTGGAGCTCCCTATGGGGCCACGAAGCGCTGCCCTGGGTCGAGGAACCGCATGCGAGAGTAACCACTGGGGCCTTCGGTGGAGCTCCCTATGGGGCCACGAAACGCTGCCCAGGGTGGGGGGAACGCATGCGAGAGCAACCACTGGGGCCTTCGGTGGAGCTCCCTATGGGGCCACGAAGCGCTGCCCAGGGTTGGGGAAACGCATGCGAGAGCTACCACTGGGGCCTTCGGTGGAGCTCCCCATGGGGCCACGAAGCGCTGCCCAGGGTGGGGGAAACGCATGCGAGAGCAACCACTGGGGCCTTCGGTGGAGCTCCCTATGGACCCACGAAACGCTGCCCAGGGTGGGGGAACCGCATGCGAGAGCAACCACTGGGGCCTTCGGTGGAGCTCCCTATGGGGCTACGAAACGCTGCCCAGGGTGGGGGAAACGCATGCGAAAGCAACCACTGGGGCCTTCAGTGGAGCTCCCCATGGGGCCACGAAACGCTGCCCAGGGTGGGGGAAACGCATGCGAGAGCAACCACTGGGGCCTTCGGTGGAGCTCCCTATGGGGCCACGAAGCGCTGCCCAGGGCGGGGGAAACGCATGCGAGAGCAACCACTGGGGCCTTCGGTGGAGCTCCCTATGGGGCCACGAAGCGCTGCCCAGGGTGGGGGAAACGCATGCGAGAACAACCACTGGGGCCTTCGGTGGAGTTCCCTATGGGGCTACGAAGCGCTGCCCAGGGTGGGGGAAACGCATGCGAGAGCAGCCACTGGGGACTTCGGTGGAGCTCCCTATGGGGCCACGAAGCGCTGCCCAGGGTGGGGGAAACGCATGCGAGAGCAACCACTGGGGGCCCTTCGTGGAGCTCCCTATGGGCACGAAACGGCCCAGGGTGGGGGAACGAAGCAACCACTGGGCCTTC